CGCCGCCACCTTGGGGCGCGCCTGCGTGAAGCGGCCGTTGGGCGAGGGCGCGGCGTGGTGCGCGCGGGGCGTCATGGGCGCGATGGGCGGCGCCGCGTCGCTCGGCGGCCCGTGCGGGAAGCGCCCGTTCTCCTCGTTCTGGAACACCTCCTCCTCGTCCTCCGAGAAGAGGTTCGGGTTGAAGTTGGGGTCCGGGCCCGAAGGGATGTCGTCGCGCAGCTCCGTGATCACCAGCGTCATCTGGCGGGGCTGCAGGTGCAGGAGGGACGTCTTGTAGGTCACCTGGCCCAGGTTCGCGGGCACCGAGCTGGCGAGGCCGTGGATTTTGAATTTTGTTCCCCAGATGTTGGACGTCACTTCAACCAGCCGTATGTGCTGTCAAACACACGTAATTCGCATTAACAGATAATACTCTGCTATCTTTTATACGTATCTCCTAAAAAACAATTTCATTCCATCGAGAAAACTATAACAAGTCAATATATTGAGGTAAAAAACTAAGATAGCAAGACAGGGCCATTGTAAAACATCTCAGAAAAGCCTCGTGTAGTGTTTTGCTTGGAGTTTTCCGCTTTAAGAAGCGTAGACCAGGACTTTAAGAAAGATAAAGGAAGAATATTCGAGGCGCTTGACGTGATAATGTAGAAAAAGAAGAAGAAGAAAAAGAAGAAGAAGAAAAAGAAGAAGAAGAAAAAGAAGAAGAAGAAAAAGAAGAAGAAGAAGAAGGAGAAGAAGAAGGAGAAGAAGAAGGAGAAGAAGAAGAAAATGAGTTGGCTTGATAGAATTAGAAATGAAGAAGTGATGGAGAGCGTTGAGGAAGTGAGGAAGATAATACTGGAGATTGTTCAAAGAATAAATAAGAACTGGCTAGATCAATTATTCAAAGTCAAGGTTGAGTGAAGTAAGAACTAATGCGGGTAAGTCAAGGAACGAAAGGAGAAGAACGTGCGAGATGTTGAGTAATGAAAATGTTGAGGGAAATCGCAGGAGACACAAATCTGTTGAATGATTAGAGGTGAAATGTTCATGAAAGCATCGCTTCCCTTTCAATTTAAAAGCGCGATATTTATATATGTAAATTATAGAGCTATTTTATTTTCGTTTCGTAGTCATCCCAAATTTGTCTGTCGAGTATCCCGAATTAAATTTTGAATACCTGTACTTTTTGGGTGATTATTGCACTTTTGAAACTTAAATGGATATATCAGAGCAATGTAAACAGCACCGAATTAAGTAAACGATCAAATCCACGGTGTAAGAAATTCTCTCACATTGTGACCCAATCCCAGCATCTCAGGCCAAGATCGACTGCGAGAGCTCTTCTGCTTCTAATGCTCCCGAGTCTTGGAATGTTGAATTCGAATGTCTGGTAAGCCCGCGAATTCTTGAAAATGGATGTCATTTCCCGTCGTTTGGAATTTTTATATCGCGACTTAAGTGACTCATTTTGTTAAACATAGTGAAGTCCGTAACTATATAAAACAGCGTTAAACATTAAACTGTGATCAATTAAGGTTCTTATTTTATAATTTTTGACATAACAATATAAATTAACACTGGAATATCAAACGTAAAGAGGAATTAAAAACATATACATAGCCAGAAATTCGAGGTATCCAGTTTACACTAAATTACAAGAAGAAAACACGTAAACATTATACCCTCTAGAAACGAACTTGAAACGTAACTACACAAAACGATTATATAAAATTCCCTTTGAACTACGAAAACAAATTACAAAACGACGGCTTCTAGGAAATACCATCCTCAAAAAAGGGAGTATAACGTGAAATTACGAAAGGAAAGAGAAACATCTTGAAAGTAAGAAAAATCATTGGGAAAGGAAAAAAAAATAGTCTGTTTAAACTCTAGCTCGGTTCATAATGGATCACCCCAGAAAAATGACAATGAAACAACAAAAACAACAACAACAATAATAATAATAATAACAACAACAATAATAATAACAACAACAACAATAATAATAATAACAACATCTTGTTACTTTAATCTCAGCACTAAATTCCCCTCACCTCCGGCAGCGTGTCGACGTAGGCGAGATCGTCCTGGTCGCCGTCGCCGCCGCCCGCCTTGTCTCCTCCGCCGCCCCCGCCGCCGCCTCCTCCGCCGCCGCCGCCGCCTCCGCCGCCGCCCCCGCCGCCGCCGTGCGACTTGTTGCGGCGGCGCTTGCGGCGCTGCACGCGCGGGCTGCCGCAGCCGTCCTCGCGCTCCGTGTCCGAGGTGTCGCTGGCCGCGTTCTGCGAGGAGCCGCTGCTCTTGAGGGCGTCCGCCGGCGCCTCCAGCCCGCCCACCACCAGCTCTGCAACACCCCCGCGCGCGCGCACACCTCAGCACACATACGTAGTAGACAGCGCGTAGTCAGGGGATTGATTGGTTGCTAGTGTCAACGTTAGTCCCGTACGTGTAGTGCATGTTTTTTTGCTCGGGAGGTGGCGGTGATCTTGACCAGCTGGATGGCGAGATTCGACGCCGACCTACCATCGTCTATATGAGGTTTCCCCAACCAGGTATCTCTCATCCACGGGCCACCGCCCCAGCCGGGACAAGCTCTAGGATCCTGACCTGTCTCCCGGCTTGAGTGGAACAGTAGTGCACGTACGTGTAGGTGTGTGTAAGTAAGGGGTGAGGACAGAACAAGGAATGGAAAGGAAAGATCGCGTGCGCTCCGTGGCGCGATTAGTAGGGTACTGGTCCGGCATTCGCCTGATGTTGATCGGAGGAACCACGGAAAACTCACGATCGGAGCAGCCGGCCGCTAGAATTATCCTCCAGACAGTGACAAGACTCGTCCTAGCTATGTAGATAGTGTCGAAAATTCTGCCACAGGCGGGAATCGAACGTCACGACCTCTTGGTCACAAGCACTGCAATGATATCAGTTGATGCCCTGAGACATCTCTCCCGGTCGCAAATGATCATTAATCACGTAAGTGTAGTGAATGTTACACGCATGGCAGTGTTGTGTGTTTAGGGGAAGAGGAAGGACGGATGAGGAAGGAATGATCGCCCGCGATCTGAGTTGGGTTCTGCTCTAGTATTCGCTTAGTTTTGATTGAAGAAACCACATAAAAGTACCGATCAGAGTAGCTGGCCACTAGAATTCTGCTCCAGACAATGTCTGAATTCGTTTAAGCTACCTAGTTACTGCCGAAACTCCGCCCCTCGGGACTCGAACCCTAGTACTGCGAGGACAGAGTCGCTGCAGTGGGCACAGATTTAACCCAGAACCAAATAAACTGGAGTCTTCCTAGATCTCAGCTAACAGGTTTTGGTTTGTTCAGCCCTGATTTAAAAAAAAAATAATAGTATAATGATTTTTATTCAAGTGTACTTCATTCGCCTTCAATTTTCCATTTGGTACCTGTTTTTTTTGTCATTTGAGATACGCCTGATTTTAGAATGCTAGTTAAAGATTACTGGAGATTAATATGATGTAGTATAACGCATACGTAATGAATGTTTCTTTACGGAATCTTAATACATTCGAAAAGCTCATTATCTCTTACCGTCAATCTGAGGGTCAAAGATGACGAACTCGGGCCGGATCTTGCTGGTCCTCTTCCCCTTCAGCAGAGGCACGAGGCCTCCCAGGTATTCCAGGTACAATGTATAGCACGTTCCAGAGCTGAGGTTCGTGTCGTCGTCGTGCCTGATCATCGTGCAGTGCAGGCGCACGCTGCCTGCCGGAGGCCGGGACACAAACTCGCGCAGAGCTGATGACTCGGGAACACAACACTGGAAGCACCAGGTCACAAATTAATTGATGATGCAGTTTAAAAATATTGCGTATGTAGACATTAATGTGTTTTGGATTGATTTGTGAATTAGATTAGCGTCTCTTCAGACTTGAAGGGTACAATTCTTTCTTTTTGTAATTCTTTGCGGAGATAAAAGAACATCTCCGCAACAGAAATGGTCACTGATCATCAAACAACGGGAATGTACCTATGTTTCGCGCAATGCTGAATCAATATATTTGTATTCAGTAATATAGTTTATTGAAATGTGATTCGAACGTCGTTCTTGCTATAATGACGTTCGTAAGATTTTGATTTGTCTCGTACAGAAGCTGTAATTTAATGTTTGATTGGGTCCATGCTATTACAGGTTGTCTAAGGGCGGATCCGAAAGAGCAGAAGCATGTGTATGAATCACTGTTTTTCATACAAAATAAATGCGTTTTTCGAAACCATTGAGCGACATTTTTTCTATTTAACTACTTACAATTCGAAGTCAGAATTATACCAATCATTGTAACTACCACCAATTTCATTATTTCATTCTGTTTGTTCTATAGGCAGTTGAACAAGAACGAGCTTACCCATGCATACACATACTCTCCTAGCTATGTGATCATGAGCGACAAGGTGAATTACAGTTTTTTCCTTCGTAGAGTAACCATAAATCCCGTTTTTTAGGTTTGTCCGGGACGTCCCGTCGTTTTACAATTTTATCCCGTTTTCGAAAATATTTCTTTGTAAAACGTAAGATTTCATCATCACAGAAGTATTCCTGAAACATCAGAGGTGATAAAAGACCGCCTAATGCAACTTTGAAATGTTCTTAACTTTTTCAAGATCGCTTTTTAACAACTTGGTCATATAGCGACCATTGCGATTACTTTAACTATAGGGAAAACTGTAAGAAGAACACGTAAGAACAGCACGAACACACACAATACATACTTGTCCGAGGCGAGATTCCAACCCGCGAACCTCCGCGCCGAGGCAGCTAAAGGCCCATTCACAATGCAAACATGACATTAACATAAACAAAATTAGGAATACGTTCATAAGCGGACTCATTCACAATGCGTTCGCATAAGCATAACACGTAAGACGTTAACTAAAAAGCTTGCTAGCTTCACGCTTCTGTGCTTATGCTTAAGTATGTCATAAGAAATGAACCAATCACAGTACGTTAACTCAAAAACGAAAATCGAAATTGAGGCGAAGTCGATAGAAGAACTAACGCCATATGGGCCATGGACACAGTCGATATTTTGAAATCGATTCTCACATCCAACTAATAGTAAACCAGAATGTCTCACAGCCAATAGAAACTTTTATTTTGCTTCTGTTTATGTTAGACATTGTTAAACTTCAGTCTATCACTTATGTTACCGTTTATGTCTATGCGCTATGCTTATCTTTACGTTTCCATTTTGAATGGGCCTTAAGGCTCTCCAGCATTAGCAACCTCGGCTATCCAGGCCGGCATTCGTAACATTTTATGTATATTATCCGAGGACATTTTTTCGCATTAATATGCTCATATAATGATGCTGATCTTTTACTCATGAATACAGAATGTACATCGAACCTCGCCCCGTTTTCGCAATCCCCCGAGTCCCGCGTGCGTCTCGATTGGAGACGTGGCCTCACCCGGATGGTTTGAGCAAAGAGGTTGGCGATGAGCGCCTTGATGCGCGGCGGCAGCGGCAGGGCCGCCACCTGCGCCTCGCCGCCGCGCAGCTGGCTGTGGATGCGCAGCCGGCACATGAGCTGCAGCGACGCGATGCGTCGCGACACCCACGCGATGTGCACCTGGCAGCCCGTCGCCACGAACAGCCGCTTGTCGTTGTGGCCCCACGTCAGCGCGGTCACGGGCGACTGCGGCGCCGGCAACAAGCGCATGCGACGGTTACGTATCCACGCACACTGGCTTCTGGGACGTACATGTAGCTGCACTATGCGCACGTTTTGTTGAACTCTCCTCTTGCTTGTAACGGTAGGAGGCGAGGCGGTAATGGCGAGTTACTTTTTTTGTTAGCAATGCAGAAAAATCATACCTGCAATTCGGTTACCAATGCAAAGAAGTTTTCTATAACTCGGGAACGAAAATGTCTAGTTTTTTTTCAAATATTGCAAATCTCGCACTTTTTTAAAATTTATTTTTATTTATTTTAAAATTTTACTCATATTTTAACTATTTATAGTTAAAATGATGGGAAGGGATTCTGAAACTCAAGAAAACGTGCGCAGATGATCTTCTCTCCCATACGTCATATAGTTTTACTGTTATTTGACTAAATAAATCTAAACAAATCAAATCTGTCGTAAATTTACGCATTAATGTAAATTAGTACATTAAGGTATTTTCATAAACTAACATTAAATTGAATGTACATATGAACATTAGAATCCAAGAGTCAAAGCTCTATGGTCATATCTGGAAGGATGGAGTCTCGAATGACGGGTGATTTTGAATATTTGATTAGAATGGTGAGAAGCAGTGGAAACGGCAGAACCTCCACATTAAATCTCCACTGATTTTAACTTATGCATTAAATTTAATGTACAAACACATTAAAGCATTTTTAATGTACAAGGGTACATTAAGTTTTATGTACAATACATTAATCTTCATTAGATTTAATGGCATTTCTAGCAGTGTAGGTATTCAGGCGCCCATGACAAGCACCGAAATTGCGCCCCTGTCAGGATACTTCAAATTAGGGTTGTTGTTATTTATTTTAGCGAGTAATGTTGTAGCGGGTAGCGGGTACGAGTTGTTTATACACTAGTGTGGCTAAGACACTGATTATTTTCAAACAGTCTCACACACAAACAGTTTATCTCTAAAGAAATTTGACTGTTTATTTTATTTCATTTTTGGTGTAAAGTTTAATTTGCATTTTTGAAAAAGAATTCATTCAACTCTTTTTCATAAATGTCGAAATCTAAATAGCGCCCCTTGCGAGTGACACCCACGGTAAGTGCCATATCTGCCATATTGTAGTTAGGCCTCTGTCCAGCTCGAAGGGAGGCAAGGAAGGCGACGGGATTATGTAGGTCAGTGGTGGTAGCAGAAGGTCAATTCTTTCATAAAATATCAACATTCTTCTCTAAATGCTAATGGATATTCCACGAGTGAAATGTGAACCAATTAGATTAAAGAATTTTCAACTCACCAATTAATCATGATTACTCGTGATTTTATCCATTCCTTTATTGCTTATCAACTTATTATCGTCACATCATTTATTATTGTCAGGTGTGGAAGTGTACCAAGCATCAAATTAATCATTAAATGACCTTGGATACAATTACATCTAATCCTGTGAGTGGTCATGTCATTACTTCTTTGTTCAGTTGTTTTACTCCAGCAGATTTTCATTTCATTCACCAACTCTCTATCGCGAAACAGGCATTCCGTGATTCGTTCAGATTCTGTTTTGAGAAATGTCTGTCAAATCTCAGTGCGATCACGGTCAACTGCAACAGGGGACGCACGAATGTGACCAACTGCTCTCTTGACAGATCGTGCTGGACTAGAGGGTTCAATGAGTGACGTACGTTTTTTTAGGCTGGAGGTGTTTACTTCGTGTATCAACCAAACCTCACTCAAGTTATACTAACTTAGCTTTTATATTAATTTTAGTAATTCAATTTTATTTAACAAGTTGCTGTTTCTTTATTCAGATCAAAGCTGCAGTTGAGCCGAAACGATCAGAAAACAGTTAATAGTTACAATTTTAAAAGGTTTTAAACGTTCTGGGTAACAATTTTAAAAGGATTAGCGTATCCAGACTCCACTCTACCAGCAGGGGCTTTTAAAAACACAATACTGGGTCTTGTGAAACAATTGGATTTTGGGATGAATTACAGTGATTACTTTTAATCTTCAGCTGCTCTCATTCATATTATATTTTTGTTTTAACATGAGGGTCATTGTCGGGATCCATTCAATGAGGTTTTGTTTCGCCAAATGTCAGCGCTCGTAACATCGTCGCCAGCATATCGTAACGGCAGCGTTCGAAACAGAGGTATGAGTAACTTAAGTACAGATTAACCGTTAAAGACTGAAAAACAAAATGTATGGTCCGAATTTTAAAGAATAATAATTAGCTGTGTGTCTCAAGGTTGCAATAGTTCCTGAAATTTGTGAACGTTGAAAATAATATATTAAGCTCTCTTTCCTCAAGTACAAATGATTACAGAATGCTTTGATGTCACAAAAGGCACCTACTGCGTGGAAAACATCATTAGACAGCAGACTCGCATGAAAAATAGAACACCTCTCCCAGACCCACCTGCGTGTAGGGGATGACAATAGAATACAGGAGCACCCCAGTCTCGGAATAGAACTTGAGCATGTTGATGTAGTCTACGCCACCAGTCTTGCTCTCTCCTAGGGCCGGCTGCGAGGAGTAGGACGCGGCGGCGGCGGCCCCGCCGCCCCCGCCGCC